TGGTAGAAGAAAATTCATAATAATAATATTTTGGCGCTCCAATTTTGTTCTCCAATTTGTGATGTAAACTAGGAGACGTTAATTAATTCAGCAGAGTGTACAGTATTTTAAGAAATTTTAGAATGACTATAGCCTACATCCCGTACTTGTCTACAGTAAATTTAATTCTCAATATGCCCATAAAATTGATGTCGTTTTTGACCACATAAATATATTTGGATTAGCGAAATATGACTGTATCTATGGGTGGAGGAGGTCGTGTTTGTTGGGCTGTGAAATCTCTGAATATTGGAAGGCCAGGAACTGTATATTTCTATGTCGGCTTTTTCTAGATAATGATCCAAGCTATCTTTTTACAATAAACTAATCTTCCCAAAATCAGCTCGAATAAACGATTTGATAGTGTACCATCTTCGAATTACCTAACCTCTGCAATTCTCGGCTATTCTTTGTCAATGCTATTCATATCGTGGGGGCCGTGGCCCAGGGCGCCCACATGTGATGACGAAAGAATAAAACAATAATTTTTCAGAGATTACAGAAAAGATCGCTAGGTATTAAAAAGATTTGTCAGCACCATCCATACATCTTGCGGAACCTAGCTTAGCTTCTCCTGCCACTGTTGAGATTCTGGAAATTTCCGTAGGATGCTGGAACTAATAGCTCAGAATGACGCCCGGACATATCAAAGAATAAGGAAGTAAGGGACGAGAGCTCGTGTGAATATTTATCCTCAACGACCTGGGAGGGAATAATAACTTTGAGGGTTGAGAAAGTACAGGCAGAAATAATGAACCGGATCAAAAAGACAAAACATTCGTACTATATTCTATCTCTGTTCATATACGAGACTGCCATGGTCAGTCGTTTAATACTGCATTCAAAATGAGCGGCAAGTACAAAGGGATTCTGGTGAGAATTTTAAAAGAAAACACGTGTTTAGAAGTCAATAATAAACGATATTGTTAAAATGAAAATAATAAATATGTTTTCCAATTAATTGTACGTAATTATCAGGGAGCGGATTTTATGGAAATCGCCTTATTTTTCTGCTAAAGAGGTAGAGTATAATCGATTGAGAATGTCCACGATTTAGCTTTCCCTGATTCCATATATAAACATTTGATGTTGCCTTTTATTGCCTTTTTTAAAATATTTGCCTTTTCTACCTTTAATTGTAAAGAGCCAGGAAAAGCCCTTCTTCCTAATAATATAAAAGTTTTAAACGTCCCACATTTAAAATGGGCGCCACTTGTATCAACTCACGTCGAGCGCCCGTTTAGTATATTCAAGGCTTTTCTTTGCGAAAATTAAATGCAAATGCTGCCAGAGAAGTTCAAAATGCATCTTGTGAATCAATTTTAATACAACCATAGAAAGGTTTTGTGAGTTAATTGGTAGAAAATAGTCAAAGATTCAAAGTATAAATTTTTCAAATAATGAAAATAGTTCATATTTTTTCTCTTTTTACTTGTAACATGAACATTTTTAAACCAAATGTATTTTTTGGTTTTTGTCTTTTTGTTAGTACCTTTTCCTGGCTATTTCGTTATTTTATTTTGCCTTTTTGGTAGGTTTTTAGGTCCTAAAAATCCGTTCCCTGGAAATTACTAACTCAGAAAGAGGCCCTCACGTGTATACCGGCCCCGGGCTCCCACATTCTTAATCCGGCCCTGCATACATATACAGTGACTCAAGCAAATGAACACTTGTTGATTCTTTTTCGTATATATTCGTATTGTTTTTCGAGTTAAATTTTTTTTTGTTATTTTTCTATAAAAAATACTGTCCGAACTTTATGCAGAACTTAGGAAAATTCAACAAATTTTCAGAAAATTTTCAGCTCTTTATGGTGAGGCTTTAGGACATTTTTGGGTATGCAGTTTTATAGCCCATATACATACAATACAATTCTAATGAAGTGCCACTTTCAATCGGCTAAAATAGAATTTTATTTTTGGAGATTGCAATTTACAAAACCTGGCGTTGATTTTTTCAAATTTTGTGGCGACCGGTCTCCCGATCTATTTTTTGTCATAAGAAATTCATGCTTATATGGAAAAAAGTGCGAAAATTCGTCACAAAAAAAAATCTAAAAAATCAACGGTAATTTTTATCGACCTGAAACTTGCATAGATATTATTGCATTAAAATTTAATTGAATTATATTTATATTTTTCATGAAAATAGTTATGAATATTATACTAGAATAAGGTATACACTTTCCACAATACATCATACTCCTACCCTGTCGGAAACACAAACAACCAAAAAGAACGTATACACTTTCATTTTGTTACACAAAATAGGGGGATCTACAGTTTTACGCCACCTCCGAACGGCAAATAATTTTTTGTGATAACCTTTTTCCAAGCAGAAAAATGCTCGGATGTTTGCCATTGGCTGCTGTAAAAAAAAAATCGTTTTAGCTTAAATGTTGCCCGTACCAGGGATCGAGCCGAGGTCGTACAGAGTCGTAGTACGCATCTCTAACAACTCAGCGACAGCAGAAGCTATGTATGTATTTATATCTTGGATTTATCACCGACTTAATAAAAACCCTTCGTATTTACATACAAAGTTGCTCATTTAGTATTGCAAATTAAATGCAAAATATTTATGTGCACATGTACATTAAGCCGTATCACGACATATGAAAGAAAAAAAGTTAAGAGTGTGTCAATTTTATTTAAACACTTATGTCAAGAGGAAATTTTTTTGCCATAACTTTCTTATGTTATGACCGATTTTTTAATCTCTATGTCGCTGAAAAGGTCTCGCTCGGGACTATAATTGGCCGTTATAATAGTTTTGGCCTTCAAAAACGTTTTAATTTATAACTTCACTAATTTTGAAATTACTATCCCTAGATTTTTGGTTTTATTTTATAAATCTAAAGCACTCAAAAAACGATGGTGACCTTGCTAAAAAGGCTAAGGCTTTTCGGTGACATAGAAATTTAAAAAATCGGATAGCAAATAAGAAAGTTATAGTAAAAAACGCGATTTAGCGGTTTTTAGCGGGTGCATAAAAAAAATTTACTTCCAAAATTTTTTCTCGACATAAATTTTTTTTTTCGTGATACACCTTAATGTACATACATATATTTTTATGCGTAATAATTTCTTAACTTACTCACAGTTTACTTATTTTCGCACTAATTAGAGGTATGTACATATAAATGACTAGTTTCGAGCTACTACATATAAAAAGCTCATAATTATTGATTAATGGAATGTAGTGCTTTTGTAAAATATGTATGTAACTCATTTCAGAGCAAAGAAGTTAAAGCCATTATTAATTAATAAAAGTGTTTTATTGCATAAGTCATGTAAGTAAAGAACATAATTACTAGCATAAGTCAAAAGGAAAGTTACTTTTTTAGTTGCACGATGAGGACTTTGAATTTGCCGCATTGCTTTTGTTTAAGTTTTGTGATTATTCCCACTGAATGAAATAAAAAAAATGCGACAACTGCTCTGAGCGTCGCGCAGTGGTCTGTCTAAAAGTGGCACAAAGTCCTAATTTCGGAATTGGTGGAAAAATCCAACTAAGTGGTTGACTCGATTCTAAACATGTCCACTAAGGCTTTTTTGTTCTTTTAAGAATTTTTTTCCTGAGAAAAATTACTCTAGCTATTATCAAAGGATACAGGAAGTAAAATAGAATATTCGCGTAGGAATTTGAATACTCAATTTACCCACTCAGAAACGGTAGTTGAATAATCGATTGAAACTGGTTTTTTTTTCTTCATCTTCAATATCAAGTTCAATAGTATTTTTTCTGGTCCTTACAGAGTTAAGGACATTTATGTGATATTATGTTATCCGACTTCAATGAAATTTCGATTTGTACACTTGGAAAATGTGAAAAGGGCATTTTCAATACCTAATTGTCCTTGTGCAACCAAAAAGTTTAATCGGCCTTAATTCTACGGAATTTTCTCTTTAACTTGATGGTAATACTGTTTTTCTACATTTTTTTGTTCCCAATACCTTGAACAATTCTTACAAGAGGAGGGACTCAAACTGACACCCTTAATTGTTGATGATGAACTGTGGACAACGAGTGACCAAGGCCACTGGCACAGTTTCAGTCGTCATGTTGGCAATAAGAACAGCCTCCGGCGGCCAGGGTCTGAATCGGTCAATTAACAGTAACGTTGTCAGTTTTTGGCAACTATCGTGAAAAACGAGCATTCTTTCGAAAGACTTATTGAAAGATTTGCTAAATTTGCAGGTCCAACTTCCGGTTTCGCCAGCAATTTAAGTAAACAATTATTTTTTTTCTATTTTATGTCAGTTTTCATATTAAACTCGGATTAAAAAAAAAAAACATTTTACTTAAATTTTTTTGATAAAACTGGCTATAAGCGTTATTATTTAAAAAGTAAATTTAGAAAAACTATATCGTCGATGCTTTTTCAAAACCGCCAATTGCAAAACCGCCTTTCGAGCGAGAAAACTGTTTTTCTTTGAAGGCATTGACTTGATATTTTCTCTAGCTATTATTTTAATAACGAAAACACTTATTTTTCTTTTTAAATCAATAAAACTTAAATTGAAAAGGAAAAAACAAGAAAATAAAAAATAAATTACATTCACTGATTAAAAAAAATATATTTTTGAAACAAAATCAAAAAGTTAAAAGAAAATTAATTTGAAAAATGAAAAAATCTTAATTAAAAAAACAAAAGAATTAAATTTAAAAAAAATTCGGCCACTTTCGGATAAGTAATTAAAAAAAAATATATTTTATATATATAATTATGGAATTAAAACACTTATTTTTCTTTTTAAATCAATAAAACTTAAATTGAAAAGAAAAAAACAAGAAAATAAAAAACCAATTACTTAAATTAATTAAAAAAATATATATATTTTTGAAACGAAATCTAAAAGTTAAAAGAAAAATAAATAAAAAAAAAAAAATATTATTTTTAATTATTCAAAAAATGATATCCAATCAATTAATTGCACGCTGTTTGCCATTGAAATTTTAAGTTAAATACTAAAATTAAATAATTAAGAAAACCACATCAGTTGACCCAGCACTGAACCCATATTAAACTGGGTGCCATTATTAAATTGAATGAAATATTGAACGCTTGTTATTTAATACCATTTATTTGAATACTGTATTGCCATAGTTTGATTATTACATAATTGTAGTGACAGTGTTGCCATCCATAATACACCTTAATATTACATAATTGAAGTGACACTGTTGCCATAATACACCTTAATACCAATAAAGGAAATATTAACATAAGGTTTATATAACTATAATACGATGTTAAAACTTAATAAAAAGGAGGTAATAATGTTATCATCAAATACTTAGTTTCTAGCCGACTTGAGGGCACTGAACTCGATTCCAAAAAGTCGAGTTTTTTTCAGCAACAAGTCGGTTTTTGATTAATGTTAGAGTCAAATTTTCCATCCCTATTATCCTCTTCTAATTTAAGCAAGTGGAGTAAGCGCGTTAGCAAAAAAGCAAAAAAAATTAGTAATTTCTTATTGACTTAACATTTAACACTTTAAAAATTATCTGAATTCCTCATTTCATGCTTTCATTAAAATCAAATGCATCTCTAATGGCATTTCTTTTTCTACAAAAAAAAAAAAAAATGCTGTCTTTTTCATTTCCGTCTCGATAGTATTTGTGCGTAGAGAGCACTGAGAATGCACAATTTTACGGTAGAATAGAAAAGCCTTAAGACTTAAAATGTAAAGAAAATTGAAGTACTTCGTCGTTAAAGCGGAGTAACGTAGTAAATTTCTTAATTTTCTCGAAATGGTCGTCATCTGGGCGAATGGGTAGCGCGGATGATACGCCTTTTGCAGATCAAAGCATTTTGCTGACAATTCGTTTTTTTCCCTCCAGTTGCTAGTGGACGGACGGTTCATACCGTGTTGTAATAAAAACTCGAGTTCTTCTCTCGTTATTCGTAGTTTCACTGGATCGAGTCGTCGTGGATGAGCGTAAAGGCGCCATCCGAATGCTTATATTTTATGCTGCGCTGCAAAAGCGTCTTTCCGATCAGATGACAAACGTGTAATGTCGTGAAACTCTGCCAAGATGTCGGCACAGTTAGCACGATTGCGCCCACCTTTTTTGCATGCTGCACGGCGCTTATGTCCTCGTCAGGCTGTCTGTTATGACGTGTAAGATCTGCTCCTACATAAATATAATCGGTGTTCGTACATCTGCAACAGTGAATATTTATTCAGTCGAAACATCTTCGTAGGCCGAGGTTGAGGCTGAGTTGTGGTTGGCCGAAAGTGGAGATTGTCGTACAATTGGCGGCGTGCGTAGAGCTTCACAGATGATGGTGTGTCCTATTAATGTGGCAGAACGGAGATGTCGGCGCTCGAGTAAGCTTATAATGAAATGGCGGATTTTCGGTCATTGATTATAAGGCATCCGCAGGAGACTTTGCGCCAACGTTCGGTTCCATTCAGTTCGTGCTATGAACACCTCTGCTGGGTTTATAGTTTTTGCAGGGTGGTCTACAATTCTTGCTATTGGATCCGAATTTACGATGGTACCAGCACTCTTCCTGGCTAGCAGATGTACTACTTCTGCGTCGTTCGCGAGCCTGTCGTCGGAATCTGGGTCTAGAACTCTTCCTGTCTGTGTTGCGACCAATATGCACACGATCGAAACGTTGTGCTAGCGCATTGATGGCGCTTTGTAGTTCGCTGTACTCGGTGTTGGTTTGCGATTTTTCTACATGCGCGATTGATGCGGGCCTAACACGGCAACCTTTTTCAACTCCGCTGATGTTCACCTGAAGGCTAATAGTGTCGACGATGGTGTCCGCAATTTTTAAATATTCCTCCGGTGGACCTGAACAAGCGGCTACAGCAGCTTGAGCGTAAACTGGCAGACGTTTTGCCCATAGGTCTTTCAATGCTGACTCGCCCATTGTGCCGCCGACTAGACGCATCATTTCCATAAATAATTGACTAGGCCTTTGATCGCTCGGCTGGGTTTCGTTCAGCATTTGATTTAAGCGTCGCTGCTGGTAGTCGGCGTAGAAGGTGATCAATCGCTGTTTGACGAAATCATATCGACCCTGGTCGGGTACTTCGGATAACGTAGCTAAGAAATCCGGCAGCATGCGTGGACCAAGTGCTGCCATCACCGTATTGAATTTCTGGGTATCGCTGTTGATGCACATTGCGGGAAACCAATAATCGAGACTTAGGAACCATCCTTCGATGTTCCTGCGATCGATCGTGGGTATGTCGATTTTGACACCTACAGCACTGACATCTGCGGCCGTTTCAGTTGCTTTAGTTGCTGGAGTGAAACCGGTGGCTTCAACATTAGCTGTCACTAACGCTGCTTCGTCCGAAGAGTCCTTGGATGCCATATTCGCTGTCGAAAATATGATTGGCGATAGTATCTGAAGTTGTTGGTAGCTGTCGTTGCAAAGAATTTTCTCTAAACAGGGTCACCACTTGTGCGAGATCAGGATGTGTCAGTTTTGGATGTGCAAATCAAAAGACGACTTACTTCTTTCGTTGTCCGTTATTTATTAGAATAATGGAATAATTATAACAAACAAATTTGTACATACATACTTACATGCTTACATGCATGCAATTTTACATGCATTCTTAAGTACGGAAACCAGAATTGCAACCGATTTTTTTTATTTTGCTGCTGTCAAAAATAATAAATCGTGCCAGTATTTACAACATAGGCTATCATCGACACACATATGTGTAGGTATGTATGTTCGTATTTGAACCATTTGTTATTGTGTTCCTGTCTGTTTTTCTTGCACTAATGTTACTACTGTGCGTATTAATAGGTGTGGAAAATTACCAACACTGTACTGTGTATTTTAATTTAACATGAAGCGGCAAAGTGTAAACACTATTGCATGCATACTAATTAGTGGAAACACAAAAAATATATGTACGTACATAACTTGTACGCAGTTACATATGTATGTATGTATGTACTCTGATCGAGTGGACTCCATAACCGGTTAGTTGAAATTTGACTTTGGATTTTGTGCTCTCGTATTTATACGTATGTATGTACATACATACATATGTGTACATTTGTATGTATATGTAAGTATGTAACGTACGCGAAATTCGCTCGCGTTTAACCAAGCTCAAAATGGGAAAGAAACTGCAAGATTTATGTGTATTATAATGATTGAAAGCACTAGTGCCGTGTATTCAACAAAATATTTTAAAAGGATAAACAGTGCAAAGTACAAAGATACAGACGAATAAAAAACGGTTCGGACGCGACAAAAAGTATAGGTTTTTTTTTTTTTTTTTTTTGATTAATGCATGTAAAAATATTAAATCTTCAGCGCTGTTTGCAGAAAAAGTGATTTTCTTTGAATGTTTGTGAACTTTGAATTGTGAGAAATACCCCTCGGCCTATTTTATGAATTATAATGGAGTTACAAACGCGACAGATTTTTCCCAGTGAATCAAATACGGTAGTTGCTCATTTAACAAAATTAAGTGAGTTCTAAGTGCTGTATAATATACATATGTGTTTGGCGAAAAATTCGATATGTGTCCCATATTTGAACGCACATCTAGTAAATATGCATTTTTAAGTTTTTAATAAAATTTAATTTAAAATTTTTATCCTTTAATATCCTTATATATATTGTAACGGTTTAAATTAAACTAAGATTCTTCAAAATGCATTCAAAATTAAAAACCTTGAAGGATAATATTTTTAAAGGACATTTTTGACATGTGCCAAAAATTGAAAACAAAAGTTAAAGTTAATTAATCTTGTTTTAAATTCTTCTTTCAATTGATACCCATATACATATACATAGTTTGTGTAAACTTTTGGAAATATGTATATTATAATTTATGGTCGTTTAGAAAAAATCCTGACTACCCGATAAAAAAACTAAAAACGCAGATTTACTTAATATTATGCTCTTATACTGTAGTAAAGAAATTAAATGAGTAAATTAACAAAACATGCGAACTGCACAAAGCTTATTCTGATATATTTCACTGCAAGTCGGCACACAAACACAAATTTCCGAGTTTTAAGAAGCGAAAATTTTGTAAAATTGGTATTACGTTAAAACTTACAAAAACGACAATTTTCCCTTATGAATTTTCAATTCTTCATTACTGCAGCAACCAAGTGAAAAATGTAAAAAATTGAGACGAGATTTATTTCAAACGTTTTAATAATTTCGGATGTTCGGATAAGATTAAAAGGACCATGGACTTGGTCACGCCGATTTGGTCAGTTTTCCAGATCGTGGTGAATGTAGTCAAACATGTATTGTCAAGATTAGGAATAGATATACATAAATATTTTAATTAATTCCATTATGTGAAAAAGTGACTGTAGGTAAATGCAATAGTCTTTAACTTATCCTGGGAAATCCTTTTGAGGACCCTCCACTTGGACGATGTTGCTTTGAATTCAGCTTGAAGGAAAAAAGTCACTCCCTGGCACACTCCGTAATCCGGTTCTTTCATTTAAAGGTTATTTATACAATTGAAGAGAATTTTTTTTTTTAGAAAAAACTAGAGATCCACTTATTTTTTTCGATATAACTTTGGTAAATGTTACTCGATCGGTTCGTAATAACTACCAAATTGAAGGCGACACTGATTTATGATAATAATATGATGACAATCGTTCAGATTATTAACAAATTATTTTAAAATAAAAAAATGTGGAATAGATTTTTTTTGTCATTTTCCTATATTTGCAATTTTTATATTGTAGTCGTAAACATAAGTAAACTTATTAGTGTTTCTAGAAGTTGTGTTTCAATACTCATTTGCAAAAACAAATTTTTTCCGCGATAATGGAAAATAATGGCTTTTCTATTAGAGTTACCGAAATTGTGCCTAAATTTACAAAATATCGCAAACTTTAGCTGAAATAAAGAAAGGATTCAAAATCTTAATAGAAAAAACTCTTTCTGAGAATGCCGAAGTTGCAGGAATAGAGAGCATACGCGTAAGGTGATTTTAAAAATGTTGCCATCTGTGGACCCTATATATTTATTTTAATATTGATATTTCAGTAAAATGTCATCCATTTTAAAACGTTTCTTACTTACAAATGACTGAAATATATTAATATTTTTAATTGAAGAAATATAGTAGTTTTGCATTCTATATATTTTTCTAACAGTATTTAGTACGCAGACCCAAAAAATAGTATAATACTATATATTATAGTACGGTTGGCAACCCTACCTACTGAGCATACAGAGGAGAATCCCATTATTTGTTAGCTTTCATAAGGTGCAGGCTTCGAATTTCGTCAGGCGCTTCCATAATTCTGTTTTCGAACCATGAAAAAGCATCTGTGAAGTGCAGAAGGAAAGCGTATTGAACGAAAAATTCAATCAAACAAATTTCAGAAAACCGCCGAAAAAATATCCGTTTCACTACAAATTTCTTCACTTGTCTGTATTTACCCTGTGGCGAAAATCTGTAGTTCTGGACTGGTGCACTTCGAGTACATTTAGACCCAGTACTGGTTCGCGATAAATCTTTTTTGCATGCAAAAAACTGGCGAATTTAACATTGTGATATCCTAGGAAGTGTCGATTGCCCCCCGCTGCGTCCCTTCTTCGATAGTTACGAACTAGTCCTAAATTCTATAGTTCCAAACCAGTTCGACAGACGAAAAAAACTATCATGTTTTTTTTCCAATATTTTGGGGATTCCGTTTGTTTGATTTTAAAAAATTTTCAAAGAAATATGTTTTCAATTTGAAATTAAATTTGTTTGAACGTTTGTAAGAAATGTACGTTTACATACCTTTGGCTGTTGCTGACCGTGCAGAGGTGCTCGCTGTTAGTTAGTTAGATTCCTGACCGTTTTGTATTACCAAACTGTGAAAAAGCATCTGCGAAGTGCAGAATGAAAGCGTATTTGAACGAAAAAGGCGCAAACTCATATCTATGTAAAGTAAATAAGCCACTAGTTCACAGTTTCCCTGCAGGGTACATACACTTAAGTTGGAAAGTGCATCGTCGAAGTATCCTAAAATATAAATAATCGGTAAACGAACAAAAATTCGCATTTCTTCAACTGGTTTTTCCTTTTCAAGACCCATTTTCGGTAGTTAGCAAATGGTTAATATCTTGATACGTAATGGACCGATTAGTATAAAATTTTAGTACATAAATGACAAAATATATCGAGACCTAACCGCCAAAATAACGTAAGCGAGATTTTTTTCAAAATTTTATTTTTGATGCAGAAATATTCCTCGGGCATCTAGATGTATTTCTGCATCGAAAAGAAAATTTTGAAAAAAATGGCGCTTACGTTATTTTGGCGGCTAGGGCTCGATATATGTAGCCATCGTTTGGCATTATGGAGTTTGGCGTAGCCCTTAGCATTTATTTCGATTATATAACATATTCAACTCATCGAGCTGGGTAAAAATGTATTACTTGCCTAGTGATGAATTCGTCCCTTGATATGGTGGTTTCTGAAAGCTATTTATATTCGAAATTGCATGAGAATTGGAAAACAGGATCCTATAAAGCTTATCCAGAGAAAAAGCGTACGTACAAAATTTTAATCAAATCTTATCATGTATACGATTTTTGGTATAGATCGGTCCCTGGTCCACTTCGCGGAAAAAAGGACCCTATATGCTAATCGAGGCAAAAAGCTACCTACATAGAAAATTTTAAGCAAATAGGACCATAAATACAATTTTTTTCGAATAGATAGGTCTCTGGTCCACGTGTTGGAAACAAGGATCCTATACGCTAACCTTGGTAAAAAGCTACCTACATACCAAATTTTAAGCAAATCGGACCATAATAAGATTTTTTTTTAATAGATCGGTCCTTGGTCCACTTACCGGAAAAAGTAATTTTTTTTGCCTAAAACGTGGGGGTTGCTGAAAGCTATTTACATACAAAATTTCATGAAAATCGGACCAACCGTTCGTGAGATTACCTGTTACAAAAAAAAAGGACCTTTCTTTATAAATAAATAATTAAAGATGTATGGAAACTAAAAAAAAATTGTTATTTTCGTCAAATATTTACTAAATGATTATGAAACTTTACCCCCACCTATGCCAGATTTTTAGTAGCTTTTTGGAAAAGTTACTTTGCCATACTTATCACTTAAGAAGGATTTTAGCAAAAGTTTGTTGATTTTAGTTAAAAAAATAGATCATTTATTTCAAAGCCATTTTAATTTATTTTGAAGATAAATCTAATATGTGGAAAGTGAAGTAAAACGAAGTAAAATGAATTGACGAAGTGAAGGCTTCCAAAGTGCAGTGAAAAATTTTAATTGAAATGACAGCGGCTGCACTGCTTTCGAAAATTTTTATGCATCGCACATAAATTTCAGAAATTTTTCTTCTTTTTTTTTCTTTTGAATCAGTTCAATTACATATTTATACAGGTATATAGGCTGCATTTGTACAACTAAATGTTACTAAACGTTCAGCTTGATAATTTCTTATTAAACTATAAATTTTCAATTAAAATAACACGCGAGACAAAACTGACCAAATTATATGGCATTTATTGTTTCACTGTCAAAAATTTAATATACTTTATACGTTTTTTTTTTGTGTTTCAACGATTTATTTTAAGAACTACATCATAGCTAATTGATATTTAAAAATAAAAATAAAACTTAGGAAAACAAATTGGCCAAAGTGCTTTTGAGCAACTGTGAACAATTTCAATGGCCTTTGTACAAACAGAGGCGTACGGCTAAATAAGATCAACAAGCAAAAAATTTCATTATGGTGATTTCGGTTCTATTAAAAAACGTCGCCTTTTAATTGCCCCTTTCACTTTTCGTGTTGGATTCCAAGTTAAAGGCAAAGGCTGAGAAAATCTTGGGTACGTTTCTTAAAATGTCACACTCTTGTAAGGCAAAAAACGGCACATTCTCTGCCCTTTAAAGCTTTGTCAGGGGAGATAGTTGCCCTGAAAGCCAGGTGGATGTTTAAAACGGCAATAATATAAAATACGTAAGCTAGACAACGAGAAGAAGGCAAAAACATGCCCTTTCACAGGGTTGAGTGTAACATCGAACACATTTCGCACCGGGAAAGGGCAACATTTTTTTGGAAGAAACGAAATCACCATTAGATTTTAGAAAAATTTTCAACAACTGCTAATATTTTTAAGTAAAAATACTTCGCTAATAATAATAATAATAATAATAATCGACTGGCGCCTGCACATATGTTAGTGTTTGGCCGAGCTTCTCCTCCGATTTGTGGCGTGCACCTTGATGTTGTCCCTCCCGGATCTACAGTTTTACGCCGACTCCGAACGGCGCTTCTATTTTTATGCGAAGCTGTTTTTCGTGGCAGAAATACACTCGGAGGTTTGCCATTGCCTGCTGAGGGCGACTGCTGTTAAGAAAAAACCCCCCTACACCCCAGCGGCTGCCTAAGCCAAAGAAAAATTAATCGTTTCAATGTTTTTGTACAACCCATAGGATCAAATGAAAATTTATTTTCTACAAAATGAGAGAAAAATCTTCCATGACCGTCACAGCCCAGCCCCTCTTCGTTATTATGAATTTCATTTTCTCTAGTCTTTCAATAAATACTTGAGTGTAATTAAAACGCCGGTGTTGATTCTATTATGTTGCCCGCAGCTGTATATATAAATAACTTTTTGCTGTATGCACTTACAGATTCTTCTTTAATGTCTTTCGCGTTGAGCACAAAGTACACGGCTGAACATCATCCTACGGATGTGTGATCAGTGACCAACGCTCATCATCATCATCACCGCAACGACGTCATAGCAGATTGCTCATACGCCAAGTGGGGCAGGAGGAAAGTGGTGATGAAAAAGCTTGCCAATAAATTAGAAGACATTATTTATATTCAATGTTGAGCATTTTCTTCCATATAACGATTTTGACGTAGTGGTCCCTTTCAAATAAAACACAGTTCGCATAGAATATATTAAGGTTTTATTGTCTTAAACTTCGCCGCTCTCGGCTTACCACAACCGTCTCGTTAACTACGGTTAACTCCCTACCACTTCACTCGCTTCACAACACCCTCCGGCCTTTAGACTCGATGCTGCTCGAGGCTCAATAGGTTCCACTGGTAAAACACATAGTTTTTGTACTGGGCGATTAATAGAACTGCTACCAGTCCAAAGAGTAACATTACTGACTTGCCCGTCGCTGCCAGGATGTAATGCCGTCACTCGCGCCATTTTCCACAAAGTCGGTGGTGTAGCTTCGTTTTTTACGACTACTAAGTCGCCCACTTTTAGGTTTCGTCTTACTTCCCGCCATTTGGGACGCTGTTGGAGTTCATGTAGATAGCTATTGCTCCACAATTTCCAAAATCTTTGCGTGATTAGCTGCCGAGACTCCCAATAGTCGAGGCGATTCTCCGACCATTCTGCTACTGGTACTTGCTCGCCTAGAGCTGGTACCAAGGATTCTCCAATTAATAAATGACCGGGTGTTAGAGGATTCAAGTCTCGAGGATCCGCACTTTGGGCACATAATGGACGAGAGTTGAGGATAGCCCCAAATTCTGCCAACAATGTCTGCACAGCTTCGATGGTTAATAAGCGAGCTCCCATCACCCGGCGTAGATGGTGCTTAGCAGCCTTTACGGCCGCCTCCCAAAGACCACCTTGGTGCGGTTCAGAAGGAGTGATGAAATGCCACTCGGTTTGACGCGCTGCCAGTTGTTCAAAGAGGTCAGATTTCTGCCAAGTCTGCAACATCCGACTTAGATCTCGCTCTGCCCCTACAAAATTGGTGCCGTTATCGCTCCATAGGTGTAGACAATGTCCATAGCGCGAAGTAAAGCGAATAAAAGCCATAATAAAGGCCTTGGTAGACAAATCCGGTACAAATTCCAAGTGTACCGCTTTCGATACCATACACACGAATATCGCGATATACCCCTTTATGACGACATTACCCCTTCGACGATCGGGACGCACTTGTATGGGTCCTGCGTAATCGATTCCCGCATGCACAAACGGACGTGCTGGACATACTCGGCAAGCCGGAAGATTTGCCATTATCTGCTCGCTCATTTTGGATCTCAGCCTTTCGCACCTTACGCATCCCTTGATCAGGGATCTCGCTAAAGTCCGCACGCCGATAATCCAATAGGTTTGCCTCAATGTCGCGATTAGCTGCTGTGCCCCGCAATGCAAAAGTTTCAAATGTGTCATTCGTGCAATCAACCAGGCCAATCTCCCCTTGCCTGGTAATATCGCTGGGTTACATTGGGTGTCAGGCAAGTCCGCTTCTTTGAGTCGTCCATTCATACGCAGTATTCCATCTTGAATAAACGGTGCTAGTATTCCAATCGCATTCGATAATTTAGAACCCTCTAGAGTTTTCTTGTTCTGGGCACAGTGCTGTAACGTTCGGATGTCGTCCGCATAATAGTCGCCTTGCTCTTGCCGCATCCAGAATGCCAATGAATATTCGAGCTCCTTAACGCTTAAATAGAGTTTCTGCCTCTCTGTCATTGGTGATCGACAATTCTGTGCGAATCTAAGTACCCAAGCCGTTACTCTTATTAATCGATTGATTGATGAATAACGCTCCAATAATGACATTTGTTTAATAGATATAATGCTGACCCTGGCGACGAATTGATTATCTGCCTTTTCAGTATGGATTCTTTCACGGCGGCATTCCTTCTTCGCCTCTGTTTCAACCTTTTCCGACACCCCTTCTGGCGGTTTCGGCCACATGGCGCTTGGCAGTCGGAGGAAAACAGGCCCTTGCCACCATAGTCGGGAAGACATTAACTCAACCATCGACATTCCTCTAGAAATAAAGTCAGCTGGATTCTTTTCAGTGGGCACATACCTCCACTCGCAGTTGGTTGTATTGATATTGATTTGTCGCACGCGATTCGCTACAAATTGTTTGAGACTACTCTTATCCCGTCGCAACCAGCAGAGTACTACCATAGAGTCGGACCAACACGTCATCGAACCGATCTTTATGCGATGTTGAGTTTCGCAAACCATCACCACCCGTTGCATTAGTTCGCTGAGTAACGTTGCGGCTCGCAGTTCGAGACGTGGTATGGTTTCCGCTCGTAGAGGCGCGACTCTAGATTTGGTTAACAGCACATTGGATTTGACGCCCTCTTCGGCATGCATTACCACGTACACGGCCGCTCCGAAGGCCTGCGTTGATGCATCGGAAAATCCATGCAAAGTCATATTTAATCGTCGAGAGTAGCCTATCCATCGCGGTATACGAAGGTTATCAAAGTGTGGAATTTGGGAGAAAATACTCTGCCATGCCACCTTCAAAGGCTCTGGTAACATAGCATCCCACCCTTGCTTTTCCTTCCAAATTTTTTGAATTAATATTTTTGCATTTATTATAAAAGGTGCTGCTAGCCCATCAGGATCATAAATTCGTGCCGTTATATTTAAAACTGATCGCTTAGTCCAACAAGCAGAGTCCGCATCCGGTAACGATTGCACTGCGAAGGCAAACTCATCCGTTGAGGGAATCCATTTGAGACCAAGTACCGATGCTTCCATATGGGTATTCAACCAAACATCGTCTCCGGCTAATTGTGTAGCGATAGAGCGGTGAATATAGTTCGAATTTGATCGAAACTTGGTTAGTTCAAAGCCCCCTGCTTTCAAAAGCTTCTGCATTTGTTGGCATAATAGTAAGAGTTCCTCCTCCGTGTCTGCGCCGACCAGACAATCATCCATATAAAAATTATCCAAGACGGCTCTAGCTCCCAGAGGCCACCTAGATGCATTGTCTCTGGCACACTGTTGCATTGCTCGCACTGCACAAAAGGGAGCTGATGCCATCCCAAACGTCACTCCAGTGAGCCAATATTCTGTTATTTTTCCTGAATGGTCCCTCCAAAATATGCGTTGCAGGTCCCAATGCTGATTTGCTATCTTCACCTGAGGAAACATCTGCTTGATGTCTGCTGAGACACCATACGCATTCAATCGAAATCCCCAAAGAAGATCAATCAAATCTGGTTGTAACTTCGGTCCGATCATTTGGACATCATTCAGCGATACTCCGGTATCAGTCAAACAAGACGCATCAAAGACTACACGAAATTTTGTCGTTATCGCATGGTGGGGAATATAATAAGATTTTCCTGCATCCGGCCTAGTTGCTGGACGTAGCCAGTCTTTCGCTACGTATTCATTAATGAACGTGAAATATTTCTCCTTTAACTCCGCATCTCGTCTGAAACGTTTTTCCAATCGTAAGAATCGTTGCAGCGCTATCGCCCGATTGGAACCGATACTACCCCAATGGGACCGCAGAGGAATTTGTAAAATATAACGCCCTGCATGTGAGTCAAACTTGTGCGTTTTTAAAAAATGATCTTCGCACGCTTGTTGCTCTGCTGTCCAACTTGACTCGTCGCCCGTTAAGCTCTCAGATTCAAAGAACCCTCGTAACAGTTGGTCAAGATGAGAATCGCCTTCAGCTTGGTTCATGTCCTTTGCGATGTTGGCCGTGACCAGGTTAGCATTAGTTGGGACCTCGCCAAAAAGCAACCAGCCTAAGCGCGTCTCTTGTGCAACGAAGCTCGAAGATAATCTCCGCATATTATCTTGCATCAGTGTAGCCCATACACCAACGCCTAATAGCATTTGAACTTTCGCTGGTTGATCAAATGTTGGATCCGCTAAATGTGTCGATATATCACTTGGCAAATCTTGCCTTTGTAAACGTCTTTGGGGCAGTAACATTTCTCCCAATACCGATGGTACTACTAGACATGTAATGAGCGTCCGGAGATCGTCATTGTAAAGTGACATCAAATGGCCGGTGATTGATTTGTCACAGATATGAGATCCCGCCTTAATAGCAGATGATACACCAATCCTGATTCGGCGTGTAGAAATTTGGTTATCCTTCACAAAATGTTTGCTGACCAAGTTCACCTGTGCGCCCGTATCGCATATTGCGCGTACTCTCACTGTCGTTCCACAACGGGTTAGAAAGCGCACCTGCGCTGTAGCCAATAAATTGGCATAAAAATCAATAGCTCCGCCCTGTGTTATGGTAGATTTTATATGCTCGGATGTTTGTGGCGAAGCAACGCTGCTGAAACCCCCGAGGCCGGTTTCCTTTTTATTGGCTAATTGCTATTGCTCCTTCCTCGGTACGACCTTAGCTACTGTTGCTAGCGTCGTGACGCGAGAAGCCTCATCTCTGGAACTCATAGCTGATAGTTTTGGGCATATTATGCTGTTGTGAGGTGACCTTGCGCACCGGGGGCAACGGCTTGACAAACAGTTTCGGGCAGTATGGCCTCTCCTCAAACAATTCTGACATAGCCCCAGCTCGAAAATCCGTTTGATTTTGTCCTCCCGGCTCATACGTCCAGTCCCAGGGCACCGGTGGAAGGCGTGATCTCCTGAACAATTAAGGCAGGGATTATAGTTGGACACTGACGAAGCGTTCAACCTCATGCGCTGATTAATCAGCGGATTGATGACACGCTTTTCGCTATGATTAGCCAAAGGTTGTATTCCCTGACTCAACAGCCCGCTGCTCCGACGTTCAAGCCATGCAAAGAAATCCTTTTGCAAATTGGGGATACGGTCTGTGGGTCGTACCATCTCCCACTGTCTACGGGATATGCTGTCTAAACGAGATTCCAGAAAATTTAAAATGAGTAAATCTCGTTGCTCCTCGGCTCCTAATTGTCTTGAAATCATACGCATACTGTTGCGCGTAACGTCAAGCATATTTCTAATTAACGAATGGGTAGCCCTCGACCAACTAGGCAGACCGTAAATAGCGGAGAAGTGTGCCGCTTGACATAGATATTCGTTATCGAATGCTACACACAATGTCTTCCATGCCTCGGCAAAGCTTTTTTCTAGCTGCGGCCAGTATCCCATTGCCCTGGCCGCATCCTCCTTAACACAGCTTTGCAACCGCCGAAGTCGTTGCAAGTTCGTGATGTGTGGATTTCGAATCACTTCGGCTGTAAATATGTCCCTAAACTGAATCCACTCCCGATGATTTCCGCGAAATATCGGGAGCCGATCTGCCAAAGGCAATTCTGCAAAACGTAACTGCAGTGCCCGATTATTGGCATGAGTGCATGTGGCAGTAGATGAGATTGGTTCTAATGCCTTTATCTGCTGACTTAACCCCGCCCGAACTCTCACGTAGACATCCTCAACCCTGAGTTGACGTGTGATATCATCCGCCTGTTGCAATTCATTTCGCGATGTTTGTTGCAACTCTTGAGATTTTAATTCAAATTTCCCCCAGGCCGTAGTCAAAATATCGAGGCGAGCCTTCATGATCTCAATAGTCGCATCTTCAAATGTCGCCGACGCCAACCAGTCCGACTGGCGCTGAATTTGAGATACCGTAAAATCTATATCCGCCCGAATACTGATATCGCCTTCGACTCTTTGAGGTGCAGCCCTTTCCATGCTAGCAATGCTCTCAATAGGTACCTCCGCGCTTGTTGCTTGCCTCTCTACTTGCGTTGCGGTCCTTTGCTCATCCCCTGCAAATACAGAAGAAAAATCACAGCTCTTAAAATAGATATTACAACTCTGGTACGCTTCCCAGACAGCAGGAATACTTTTATTATTCTCCACAAGTCGCCAGGCAACAGAAAAGTGCCTTTAAACCTCGCTTGATAAGTCGCTGATCCAACCCTAATGCAGTTTCCCTGATAGTAAACAGCATCCGCTAGATGTTCTTAAAGTCGCTGTAATATATTACAATGAAACCTCCCTTGGACGGACAGTCACCGTCACCGTCAGTCATTTTTTGTCCGCCCAAGACAGGTGTCCGCTCAATGGAAGGTAAGCTTATTTTAGAACTTTTTAATGTTTTAATTAATTGAATAGTCACTATTTCTTATTTGAATAAAAGATATTGATATTACATCGTTCAAACAAAAATGTGCATGTATTTTTACAAAAGTGCATATTTCATTTATGTATGTGCGTAAGTACATATTAAGTAATAACAAAATAAAAATAAATATTACATTTCAGTCCATAAACTACAAAAAACCATAGATTCATTACATAAAAAACTGGGAAATTGTCGATTGACGTAAGTTTTATTTTAAATTTTTTTCAGTGTCAGTACCTTTTTCATCAATAGTTTTCATGTTTTTATCCCCCTTTTCCTTTTAGTAGTCCGCCTATGAGGAGTTCGCGTCCGCTCAACGGAGGTTTTTGTTTGATTTGTTATGAAAATAAATCTTAATGTCCGTTGATAAGAGGTTCGCGTCCGCTCAATAGAGGTTTTTGTGTCAATTTTATGCAAAATAACTGTCCGCGTCCGGCCAAGAGAGTGTCCGCTTAAGAGAGAGTAATTTGTTCCGAAATTTATACTTAAAACTTGGTATAGGAAAAAATGTCCGCCCAAGGGAGATGTCCGTCTAATAGAGGTGCCCGTTAGGAGAGGTTTCACTGTATATTAATTTATTCATAAAGACGCCTTAAGTCGCAGGAGTTTCGCCGGGGAAACTTTCTTACATGCTTCATAAAACCACACTAGGCCGCAAAAATATCCCCACATTATCCACGAAGTCGCCGATATATTTGTTCAAATGGATTTGCTTCACCTTTAATGAAAGTGTCTAAAACCGCATATATTTCCCCAAATAACACATAAAGTCGCTGTTTCTTTTGAATCCCATTATAAATACTGCAACGTCCGTAATGAAGGCGAATAAAACGCAGAAATTTAACCATATCAGGCACCAAGGTGTTGTTTGGCCTAAACCAATGCTTATATGAACGTAAATACGCAGATACATATATTTAAAAACACCTTTGATAATCTGCTTAATAATGGCGCCCTTCATTTCAGATATTTAACGCAATCGCAACTCGTACCTTTGACAACATTCCTTGCTTTAGCTAAATTTTCCACGGTGCGCTTCTTTCTTCCTCCCTCAGGATGCGACGCTGCAGACCTTTTGCTCGCCTTGGACGCTGGCTTCTTACTGCCTTCTTTTCTCAACCGCGGCATTCTTATCTACTACTATAACTAAATAATATTAGTTAGTTTTTATAGCAATTATTGCGTGTTAAAACAAGCGAACTAACTACGAACGATCAACCTAAATTCCGAAATCAATTCGATGTCTTCCCTCAGATGTACAAGCGGAATAAAAATAAATTTCGGTTTGCACAATGCAGCGATATAATCTGCGTATATGTACATATATTGAAACACAACGAGTACGAAAATTATAACGTAGTATCTCATTTCCAATTTCATTCGCCTATGCGAAAAGCTCAACTCTCAAATGTATGCATATATGTATGTATGTATGTACAGATATATTTATGCTCGCATAAGTTTATTTCTCTTTCTTCTTTGTCATGCCGAACACCGACTCTGCATCAGCGTTACCGTTTTGATACAATTGTATCTTTTTTTTTGATACTTTATTTTCTAAATTTTAAGATTTGATACTTTGATACTTTTTTGTTCACAAATGCCCCATTTTGATACTTTTGGTTGGCAGAAATGAATTTTTGAAAATTATCAATAATATTAGTACACCTTTTCCAACAGTATTTCAGCAAAAACACAAATGTATTTCAGAAAGGGCCAAATGAATTTCAGAAAAACTCAAATGTATTTCAGAAAATTGCAAATGTATTTCAGAAAAGCTCAAATGTATTTCAGAAAAGGCCAAATGTATTTCAGAAAAAGCCAAATGAAATTCAGAAAAACACAATTGTATTTCAGAAAAGTTCAAATGATTTTCAGAAAAACACAAATGTATTTCAGAAAAGGGCAAATGTATTTCAAAAAAGCACAAATGTATTTCAGAAAAAATATTCTTAGAATACAGTTATTATTTTCTTAAAGGCAAATATCGTTTGCAATTTTTATCTATCAATATTCTTAGATACATTTATAGGATTTGAATTAAACAAAGATTCTTGAAAATCCATTCAAAAGTAAAAATCCTGAAGGATAATTTTTTTAAAGGATATTTTTGACATTTTCCAAAGAATAATTGACAACAAAAGTTATGATTAATCTTGTTTTGACTTTTTCTTTAAATTGATACCCATATATCCATATTTTGTGTAAACTTTTGGAAATATAGCTTATGGTCCTTTGGAAGAAAATCCTGACTTCAGAATCGTTATAATTTGGCTCTGAAAGGGTCTAAAGACTGTTATCTTGGCTCAAATTAAAGGTCGTAAATTACATTAAAACGCACTTGTTCTTCGAGGGATATAAAGTTTTATGAAGGATGCACAGCTGCATGTTAATAATAAAATGCAATAAATAAAAAAAAATTCGAATTTTGAACAGTGGAATCGTGTAGCTCGTCTCAAAATCTATAATATTAGTATAATGAAAAATAATTTTTTTTTTTTTTTGGAATAAAGCGGGGGGATTTTGAATATTTTTTTCGAAGAACACTATTTTTTCCAATTTGTTTTTTAAGGTCAAGGAGTAATTGTGGCTCAAGGGCAATATTTTTCTGTGAAAGGCAATTACATGCGGTTTCAAAACCATTTTATTTCATATCAAAATGTTGCTTCTTTCGAAAGTGCTACGATTAATTCGCATGGCGTGTTAAAAAAGCACACTGTTCATTTATAAACAACTAGCAGATCCGGCGAATTTCGTCCCGCCCAAAATTAGATTTTTAATTTAACCATTTTGTTCCAACATTTTCTCCAACAGTCCACGTTTACGATTTCCATTAGCACATTCATCGGCTAAGATTATGGTTTGGTGGTCGTTTGCCGCCTTAAATAACCTAACGAAAGTGTTATGTCTATGAAGAAGTTCCCTGGGGGCAACAATGATCCGGATCTATAGTGAAACTGCTCTAGAAACTTTATCTTATAGTTGGTAGCAATTTCAAAATGGATGCGTATCCTTCTTCAACAGAAATACAATATACATACATAGACTGAGATGAATAACCTTAAAAGCCAGTTTCACGAAAGCAATTTAAGTGAAGGGTATTTTTTTCTGTCGGGTTCTATATTAATTTCAATTAAAAAAATAAAAATTTCATTAAATTGCTTTTATGAAACTGGCTTTTAAGGTATTTCGACAGGTGGTGATTTGAGATTTACCACTGCACAACTCCACCCTGGTGTGTCCGAATGAAGCTTTAACGCATAATAATATTGGCAAATCACATCCATTGGGCCAATCGAAACACACGAGAGTTCGATAAACTCAATGGTGCAACAGGTCGATTTAGTCTGACATTCACGGCACCTTTTCTCTTTTGTCGATTTTTAGTAATTAATAACCGACCTCAGCATCACCTCACAGCTCTTTTTTGCAATTGGACTGCCTTTACCGTTTGCAATACATGTTTTGAATATTCGCTAAATCGGATCATAAAAAAAGATTTTTAGTAATAAATCAACTCCAGCGCCAACTGGCGGGTTAAATTGTGAAACTAAACTATCCAGAGACCCACTCAAACACACACAAAACTTTGTTGAAATCCCTCCAGCCATTTAGGATTTCACTCACAAACATACCTACAGAAGAATTATATACACATTCAAGGATAAGTAAAAGTCAGTACGTTTGTGCTTTGCCATGCTCTCTTTTCAAAGAGCCCATTTTTCTCCATGAATATGGAATTGATTTCATATATCCCCATACGAAGTTCCAGTACTCTACCATAAACACTTCCAGAGATACTTATTATGAAAAATTCGGTTTATATGGGAGGAGCCACGCTACCTTTTCAAATAGTCCGAATTTTTCTTCATGAGTATGTGATTGATTTCATATATCTCCATACCCAGTTCCAGTGCTGTACCATGGACACTTCCAGAGAAATGCAGTATGAAAAATTCGTATTGGATCGGAGGGCCCACGCGCTTTTACAATAGCTCAAATTTTTCTCAAGAGTATGCGATTGATTTCATATATGTACATAGTACCTCCATACCAAGTTCCAGTACTCTACCATGAACATTTCCAGAGATATACAGTGTGAAAAATTCGGTTGTATATGAGGTGCCACGCCCTTTTCCAATAATTCCAATTTTTCTCTATGAATATGTGATTGATTTCATATATTTTCGTACTAAGTTCAAAACCATGAACGCTTCCACAAATATGAAATATTCGGGTTGTATGGGAGGTAATACGCCCCCTTTTCCTGTAGCTCAGCAGAGGACCATCGATATGTGAATTCATATATTTCGATAATGAAATAAATTGGGAGCGTAAATACGATTTTTAGTTACATATACATATGTAACTTAATTTCAGCGCCACCTGGCCGCAAATTTTTTTCGAAAGAATTCTTTTTCCTGTTATCAATACATATCTCGAATATGAGACGAATCGGACCATAAACACGATTTTTAGTAATAACTCGACTCCAACGCCACCTGGCGGCTCTTTTTTTTGCAATGGTATTTTTTTTGCTGTTGTCAATACATGTCTCAAAAATGAGGCGAATCGGACCAAAAATAAGGGTTTTACTAATAACTCGACTCCAGCGCCACCTAGCGGTTGTTTTAATAGTTATTCTGCTATTCGGAAGGTAGGTAAATTCAAAAAATAAATATCATAAAAATCGGTCCAGCTGTTCTTGAGTTATAAATGGTATAACTAACACGACTTTGTTATATACGTATATATATATATATATATATAGATATATAATCTAATAAAATATAAATCTATCGTACTTGGGCGTACAGAATTTTTTATTCTTATTTTCCGCATCCCAAAAAATCGAGCTCACGATCCGCCACTGTCTAAAGATACTTTAGACGTTTTTTCAAAATGCCACAGATTTATTTTCACTGTGCAAGAGCCTAGATTCTAGACAGTATAATGCACTGAGTACGTCATGTAAAATTTAATTAAAAACATGAGCGCATACTTGGTTCATGAAAAAATACATATGTTATTAAATTAAAAAAAAAAAAAGTTTACTATGCAGTTTGTTTTTAAGGAAATAATTGCATACAATCAGTTAAAACACCTGACCCTTGCGGTTAAGAAAATACAACTATATACATATGTACATACACATATTTTGTTTAAATATAAATGTACATATGTACATACATGTATACATACAGACTAGGGATGTTGCGAATGTGGAATTTTAGACATCCGAATGCATCATAAAATATACTTTTGCAAAAAGTTCTGCCGAAAGATAGCGCTGGAGTCGAGATATTAAAGAATCCGTCTTTATCGTACTACCTGGGTTAACGGGTATTTTTTGGATAAGAAGTGCTTCAGCAAAAAACGTACCCAAAAAGTAAATGGCGCTGGAATCAAGATATTTAGATACCGCTCTACAAAGTTTACTTTTTAGATGACTTAATAAAGCCCCATCCTTTAAGTATGAATACAAACAAACGCAGAATTGTCCTAGACACATCAACGGGCCATGAGTATATCAAGAAAAAGTGGAACGAATTAAAAATAACACAATATGAACATAAATGAGACCCCGTTTGAGCGGGAAAACTCTTTCTTCCTGTGGAACAGCAAGATTTAACCTTTCAACCGAAGCCGAATAGTGTTTACATTACAAACCCCTTTTGCATTTCAAATCTATTTTTGTATCGGTCAACGCAAAAGTTCTTATCAGGCGTCGCCAAGCAAGCCAGGCATTTGCTAGTGTAACATAAAAAGTAAATCACGAAAATTTGGTTTAAAATTACAGTGCACACTTTTTTTCTTTTATGTCTAGGAGTTTTTTAAAGATTGGTCCAAAAAAATAATAATAATAAAGAAAGAAACCAGGGCAAGGTATTTAAAGCACAAAAAAAAACAAAAAAATATTATTAAAAGACTATGTTCTATTTGACGTACGTCAAAGGTCTAGCAAAAGTGGGAACTTGTATGACTGCCCATTGATAGCTCGGTTATATAGCTTAAGAAATAATATGTTTAAAGACATTTTTATCGAAGTTGATAAATATGACATTTGACCAGTTTTGTTACACAAATACTCCCAATTGTCATTTGTGCACTTGCACAACATTCGCATTCGCAAAAGCTCCGCATTGATTATTGCGAATGCGAATGTTAAAATTAATGCGGAAGCTCCGCGGTTGCGAATGCGAATGCGAATGCGAATATTCGCAACAACCCTGATACAGACAACAGACACTCGCCATTGTTCCAAGTTAGTCGAGTATGAGCAAATACCTGCATGCATACCTACATTTGAATAACAAATTGAATTTTTACACGATTTCTGAATGTTCCGCGAATTGTACCTAAATTAAAAAATGCTTAATGAAACGATTAGTAAATTTTCTGTAGGTACAAGGAAATCTAAATATTTAGCAAATCTATTCGCATCCACTAATTGATGTGGGATATTGTTTTGAAATTGTCAACAAACTCTGTGTATGAACTCGTTGGGACCAATTCGGATTTTTTTTAACCGACTTCCAAAAAAAGGGGAGGAGGTTATTTTTTTTTGTTATTACATATATGCTCGTATATATATATATATTTTTTTTACTAAAAATTACTTGTTGTTTTATTGCTTTATTTAACCATTTGTTTAATGTTAACAATTTTTTGTGGGTCCCCCATTGCATTTTTTGGGGTTTTGGGTACATAAAAAATAGTTAGTATTAAAGAATTGTTAAATTAACAATTGTTTATTATTCCTAGAAGGGCCCTGAAGTTAAACAAAGTTTGCCGGCTAAAAAATATAGATTTTGAAGGTCTCCAAAATGAGAGGGAATTAAGAAGAAACCTAGATGACACTCACACGATATAAATAAGCACTCGCACTGTAGCCCGACGGCTTAACTGCTTCCGCATATCTTCTCTCAACTCCTCAAGAAATTGGTAAAAGTGCCTTAGTATTTTATTTATTTGTATTTTTTTTTTTTGTTATTGTGTGCATTGAAGATAATACCATTAAATGCTTAAAGAAATCCATTCATATGCCACATCAAAGAAATGTATATGTAAAAATACATATTTTTTGATGTTCGAAAAGAATGCCTCAAACCACGAAACATGTATAAAGTCTATGTACATATGTGTTTATAATTCCATGTAAAAAAAATATATTTTTTAATATGACATTTTGTGAAAAATATATTTTCCCTAAAAAATTAAAATTTTCAGCGAAAATGGGTGTGTAATGCGCATTTATAGCGGTCAAGTTCACTGTTCGCTTACCCACTTATGTGTGTGTGTGTGTGTATGAGAATTTTTTTTTTTGCCAAAAAATCTTATGTCTTCACTACTTATCTATCTCTTGCTTTGCAACTCTGCGATCTAAACAACTTTTTTCTAATATATTTTTTCTTTATACTTGGCCAATGTAGACTTCCAAGCGCCCAAATAATGTCTGCATTTATTATAATTAGTTGCATAGAATTTGTGCATACTTATGTACGTAGTGTAAACAGTTCTGTATGATTAAATCTTGAAGATTTTTTAACTGTTTGTTTTTTGTCCTTTTTTTCGTATGTGTTTTTGTTTGCTTTTTTGGCGGACTTTCGCCTTGGCAAAGTTTCAAAACTTGCGAAGCTCAGTATTAGTGCATTGAATTTGGCGCTTTGTTACATACATATCTAGTAAATAATAGATGTGTATTCAGATACATATGTACAGTGTCGGCCACTTGAATAGCGCCCCTTTTGATACTCAGTTATTATGATTTCAAATCCAACAAAAAATTATATAAATTATATCACCGAATGTCTCGAGGTGGCAGGACATGGTCAATGTATCTAATTTGAACTAAATTGCCAGCTTTAGGGCCGTTTTCTCAAGTAACCTGTAACTTTAAAGCTCACTTTATATTTAAAAGTTGCATTAAAATTTATGTTTGCGTCTAAGGTAAACCATGTTATTATCGGTTTTAAATTGGTTTACAACCAAGAGACATACATACGCCAAAAAACGATAATAGAAATGCTTAACTTAAGACATAGCTTTATTTCTAATCCAACCTTTAAATATAAAGTGAGCTTTAAAGTTAAAGGTTACTTTAGAAAACTGCACTTAGTATAAAAAAAAATACATATGGAAATGCCGTAGGTGTGTTTATACTACACCAACACTTTCTTTCATATGAATATCTCATTGTTCATTTAGCTGAAGCAGTACGAATAGATTGCAATTTGTGAAAGGTGGAAAATCTTTGCTAAGATCTCTATAGAAAAATTCACAATTTAGCCGTTGAATTTTTCGCATCTAATTTAACCGCTATTTTGTCATATTTGGATTTTTATTTTTCCAATCAATTTTTAATCGTTATTTTTAAGTTTTATTTTTTTTTTTCAATCACATTATAATTGATATTTTAGGATTTAATTTTTCATATCATAAAAGATTTAAAGTAGCCACAAAAAGGTAGTTTCCATTATAACGGTTAAAAAATGTTCGACAAAAATATAATTCCACAATAACGAGCGTTGTTGATAGACAAAAATAAATAAGTTAAAATAACGATTATTTAAATTTTACCAAAAAAAACTAAAAAATCCAAATTTAACGATTATTCTTGATTGAAACAAACCGAAAAAATAACAATTTGGAAAAAATTCTTAGTATTTCATTAGTATTTGCAAATGTTCACATTAAATATATTTGATTTTTTAAACTTCTGACATCCTCTTAAAAACCATGAAACTTTTTTAAACATCTTTCGTTTGACAACATCTAAGGTGGTGGCAATCCTCTTCAAAATATTTTTGAAAGAAACAGTTTTTCATCCTGTTTCGTTTGACATCCATATTGTAGCATTTCATTAAAGTGATTAAATTAAATTAAACGAATTATGTGGCAACCATTTGAAAAAATATTTTCGAAATAAAGACTTGTTAAATAGAGTTTCTTTGACTTGACAGCATTTTGTTATGCTTTATTTAAATTGTTAATTTAATATAATTATAATTTTTAAACAAGTGGTATCTCTCTTTTAAAATATTTTCGAAACAATGCTCCCTCATTCCTCTTTCGACTAAAATCCATAATGTCATACTTTATTTAACTTATGGAGAAATAAGATTAGGCTTTTAAACAGGTATAAGATTTGGCTTTGAGACAGATGGCAACCTTCTATAAAATATTTTTAAAATAAAGCTCCTAAAGACCTCATTTGTTTACCACCCATATTGATATACTTTTTTAACTTATTAATAAAATTGAATTACAATTTTTAAATATAGAGTACGATAATATTATAACAATAAAATCTAGTTTGAAATTAAGTTGACCTTTATTATATATTTTGAAGTGGAATTTAACTTTTTTAAGCAAGTGGCAACCCTCATCAAAAATATGATATACATATGTTAATCCAGTTCGTAAGATCTGCCAAATTTTATCCTAAGAAATAGCAAGAAATACGCTCACACACACTCACAAACCCTAGCATTTGTCAATTAAATTGATTTTAAATTCCAAAGCTGGTGGCATCCCTCGCCAAAAATACTTCGCAAAATTTCGAGAAACTTGCAGTAAAATACCAAAAGACCCGAGAAATTCAAAAAAAATACCAAAATATAAAAAAGAAGTATCACGAAAAGTCTCCAGGAAAATCTCAAAAAGTTCAATTCGAAAAATCTTGACCAAAAATCCTTTAGTAATCTTAAAATACAGTTTTGTAAAGCCTCTCGTTTGATACTACCCTTATGTTAATTAATTTGATTTTGAATTTGTAACAAGTGGCAGGCAACCCCCCTTAAAAATATATTTGAAATAAAACTTTCTTAAACCTCTGATTTGATACCCATATTAAAATATTTCGTTTAACTTGTTAATTGAACTGTTCTTAACTTTTTGAATCGCTAGCAACCTTCTGATAGAACACGTTCGTAGAAATTCGCCCTTGAACCGATATCGTTTAACACCCATATTGCTGTGGTTTTTCCTTTAACTGATATATTAATTTATCGGTATTAAAATGTGAACAGGTGGCAACCTCCACAAAAAATATTTTCTAAATAAATCACTTTAGAGTCACTTTCGTTTGACACCCACATTGTTGTTACTTTTCGTATAACTTATTAGTTGATTGATTTTAACTTTTTAAAAAGATGGTAACTCTCTTAGAAAATTGTTCTATATGTTAATCCATGTTGGATCTATCATTGAAATCCGTAGTGCCATTTTAGCGTTCATTAATTTTTATAAAAATATAGCATATTCTATAACAAAAACCACACAAATTTGATTTTCGAACTTTATATAAAAAATTTATAATTCATATAATTTCAAATTTTGATTAGTATGCAGTTTTGTAACCTATAAAATTTTATCAAAATAATATTATAGAATATTCTATATTTTTATAAAAAATTAATGAATATTAAATAAGCAAAAGGAATATTAAATAAGCAACAGGATCAAAAGGGGTCGCTATTCACAGGGCCAGCACTGTATATAACAATATGATGTACAATGTACCAACTCGAAGATCATTGCAGCATTTTATCGAGAATATCTTTTATTTGCAATTTGCCTATACTAATTTTGTTAAGTGTTTAAATGTATTGTAACATCAAGTAAATAAAGTGAAACCTCGATATAGCGAATGGCAGGCATCAATCGTTGCAAAAGTCTTCTCACTTAAGACCTTTCGAGTAACCAAATTTTTTATTTATTTTAAAAAAAAAGGATCCTTTTCTTTAAGTTTTAGTAGAATATCGCTGATTTCTATTCGTCTCCGTCGTCGTATTCGTATACGCCTTCGCCTTTGTATTCGCCTTCGTGATCATATTCGTCTTTGTCTTAATCTACGCCATCAAATGAACTTTTTTGAATTCATGTGGAAGCTAAAAATCGTATGAGGCAATTTTTTCTTAATACTAGACAAATCTCATTTAATTTGTAGGATTATGACTATATTCCCACCCAGAATGAAACATTTTCTTTTTTGAAAGATAGATGTTTGAGAAGTAGAGGTTAAGAATATACTTTATTCCAATTGGTGGCGCTGTAGTTAAGTAATTTAATAAAAATAAGCACTAGCGCCACCTAGCGGGAGCGTATTACACTGCTCATGGAGCTCGTATCTATCTAACGACAAAAAAATAATAAGGCAATTAATTTAGTATTTATTTTGACCTCGTTTCCAAAGGGCATTACGAGAAAAACATTTTATAAGAATGCAAGCTTTTACTGTTTTCTCGTAAGAATAACGGCAATCTTACTGTCTACGTACTTAACATCCGCTATGTGGAGTACTTCAATAAGGTCACTCAAGTTTTAATGCAATAAATTTCGCTTTTGTATTGCATTTTTTATGATATTCTTCAGAAAACGAGAGAGTGTTTCAGTCATTCTGTAAAAATTTTCATGCATTAAGCTTTTTGTAAAGTTGCGGTTTATTTTATCGAAGTTTTACTGTAGCACCCTTATGCGAAGTGTGCATGTATGCATCACGCTTGTATCACGTGTGATGCTAATGATAAGCGTATTCCTTAATTCGCTTTCCTTTCATTTTACTTATTAAGCTGAAGAGCTGCTGAACGGTAGGAATTTCGTAGAAGGTGCTTTTAACAGTACTTTAACTAATTACTTAACTGCATCAACTGAATGACCGTTAATTAACCGGCACTAATAGTTTTCTCGTGCTTACAGCTACAACAAAGAAGAAACATCTATAGTCATAAATCACTAAATCAAATCGAAATTTTCATCCTTTTTTTTAGATGGCCGAACTCATGCATCAAATGCGTGATCCAGCGCATACGCTAGGCGGCTCTGTGGGCAGCATACCACAGACGTTTGTCGCCAATGGCTCCAACAGCGACATGTCCATGCAGCGCGCGCTCACCGGCAATGGCAACGGCGGCATACACACCACACCGGCCACGAATCTCAAACTTAGCGAAGCCGTACGCAATGCTCAACACGATGCTAGTCCCAATATCGTCTCATCGAAGATGAAATCATCTAAGTCATACACGCATGGCTTGAGCAATTCAGCGGGCACAGTTAGTATACGTACTTACATATTATCTAATACTATACATCTATAAATTTTTATTAAATCGCAAAATTCATCTACAAATTAAATTTCAATCTCCTCACACGCACACGCACACAACACAGGTGCACATTCCAACGTCTACCTCTGCGCAGAGCAATCTCTCGCTACTTGCCGATATCTCACCCAATCACACGCACTTCTTCGAGGTTATGTATGTAGGTAAAATTCGTGTATCGCACAAGCGTGTGCCCTTCTCTTTCATCGATGATGCCTTGCCCAAGTTCAGGGCGTACGATGCACAACGCACACGTCTAATGCAGTTAACCACTGCCGCTTCATCCTCAACTGTTGGCGCAACGTCACAAATGGCAACAAATCGTAAACTTTCATTGAATGTCGAGTGCACTAGCGGCAATAATAGCGCAATAACTTTCGACCTTAAAAACACTTCGCTCAAGGAGAGCGATGCTGAGGAGTCGACCGAAGCGGAAGTGGATACGGAGGCAGAAGCTGAAGCTGAAGCTGAGACTGCAACGGAACGGATTCAACCGCACGATGCACCGTGCAGTCAGAGCGTAGAAGCGGCCATTTCAGAATTGGCAATGCAAAAAAATAGTGCACAACCGGCTGAGGATGAGCAAAAAATGTCGAACAAAGAAAATAAATCACCGAAACGTTTAATGCGCGGCATGAGTCACACGGAACTTCCTGTTAAGAAAGAGTAAGTTGTAATGGAAGTGTACATTTGTATGCTGGTTTATTGTAGCACTTAAGCGCAAACTTTTAAAATATGTATATGTATGTACATGTGTGAGCTTCGAAAAAACTTAGTATATCTGCTATTGGTTGGGTTTTCAAGGGAAAAGATTCCGTGCACTTGCAATGGTAGTTTTTGCAGGTGGGTCAATCCATGTCAAATCGACCTACTTTTGGAATCGACAAATTTTGACTTGGATGCATTTTGGATAGAGCTTTTCTTTTATCATTTAACAAAGTACTGCCAAAGGAAAAAATAAAAAATAAATTTTTCGAAATCTTCCGAAGTTTACAAGTTTATTGTTTGAGTGTTTCAAAAACAATTTTAGTTACAAAAATGGTCTAATTTTTAAAATTATAGAACTAAGAAAGCAAAAATATGTATGTAATTTTGGCTACAATTTTTTATACATATTTTACCTCAGGTAGTAACATTAGCGCAAAAACAACATTTACGTGGACTTTGCTGTTGCTTCTAGTCTCCAAAGCGCCAGAAAAATATTCTGTTTTTTATATCGTGTGCAATATAAGAAAAAAAATACAAACAAAAATTTTAAATTCGAGAAGAAAAGTCTTGGTAATTTTGTTTGCGAAGCTTCGATCTATCCTTTGCGAGGCCCAAAAAAACAGCGTTTAGAGTGCTAAGTTAAGCGAACGTTCCAAAAGCATTTTACGATTTAAAGTTTTTTGAATGAAATTAATAATATTTGACGATTTAGAAGCCAAATAATTAAGCAAATATATACCTGCTCAATATGCCTTGCCTTTAAAGAGCGAAATACACCACACAAGCGGTTTGACAAACCAAGCGAAATTTCCCTTTGCTTCAAGCCATTTGTGCTGTGTATGGGGGTGTTTGAAGGTTTGACAAACCGCCGTCAAACCTTCAAACACCCCCATACACAGCACAAATGGCTTGAAGCAAAGGGAAATTTCGCTTGGTTTGTCAAACCGCTTGTGTGGTGTATTTCGCTCTTTACTGATTAAAAAAAATCCTGAAATTTTCGAGATGTGTTTTTTAAATGAATTTTTGAACTTTGAAAAGAAAGAAATTCCTGTAAACTCTAAATTAAAATTAAATTAAAATTTTTCAACAGAACTTAAAGCAGAGTTTGCAAAAAAATATTCAAAATTCAAAATTAATATCTTAAAAAAATCTTGAAAATTTCAGAATCTTTTAAGATTAGTTTTAAATGTGGTATAAACAAGTTGAGCCGAAAGTTTAGCTTTGCAATTAGAAAAAGTGTTTATGTATGTATTACTATTTTCCTAAAAAAAAAACACAATGAATAGTGGCACTGCGGAGGAGGAGAACGCAGCCGATTCAACAGAGATGCTAGTTGCCCCAAATGTTATAGTCAACAAACATCCATCGCCACCGCGTCAAGCGCAAGAGGATAAAAGCGAACAGTCAGAGCAACAAGAGAAGACGACGGCAGCAGAAGCAGGCCCACAACAACAACAGCCTACGATACCACAGCAACCTGCCTATGCCACGCTCGATACGTGAGTAGGATGTTGAAGCGTTTTCAACCATTTACTGGCTTCTGTTTCGTCGGCATGCAATAGTTCCAGTGTGTTTTGTTGTTTTTTATTTTGTTTATTATTCGTTTTTTTGCGCATCCGTTTTTCAGCATTTTTGAAACTACAAAGCTTGGAGATAAAAAAATGTGATTTGTGTAGTTCCTCTCTTTTTTTTTTTGAAGCGCTTTGTTTCGCATTTTAATGATGCATTGCACGCGCATGTTTTAATAGTTTTTTTAGTCACCCCTGATTTTGTTCTTTCCTTGCTGCTAAAAATTCGTTACTTCAAACTTACGTAAATGAATACTTGAGTCGAATAATTTTCACCCACTCTCTCTCTCTCTCTCTCATTCGCCCACCCGACAGCATCCCCAAGCAACGCGATCGCTCTGCTTCGTATGGCTGCATTCCACCTTACGTGGAGCAGAATCGTACTATGGTCTTCCTCGTTGGCCGCTCCGATCTACGTCTCATTTCGCCGGATCGAAAACAAGTGTTGCTCTACAAGGATTTCAAAGACGTCGCCAGCTGTGCGCAGGGTCAAAAGAATCCCGATCACTTTGGCATCATTTGCCGTGAGGTGCACAACGACGGCTACATTGGCTACGTCTTCAGATGCCAATCGGATCATGTGTGCGACGATATTGTTGCTGCCATTTCGCAGGCATTCGTAACATGCGCCGAGCAAAAGAAAAAGGAGGCCACACAGATCTTCTCGTGCGAGCACTGCCCCATGCTGTGGTATCACAAACTCTGCACCGATGTTGAGGGCTTAAGTGAGAAGAAGACACAAGCGATGATCTTTCGACGCATAGAATCGCTGACCGATGATGAGCAGGACATGATTTGGGCCAAGTACTATGGTTCGGAGAAGACAAGCTCACCTTTGGCGGAACAAAATCAATTTTTAATGATGCTACTGCGCGCTCATTGTGAATCGCGCCAACAGCGTCATGTGCACGATACCGCAGAGAATCGTTCGGAATTTCTGAATCAATATTTAGGTGGTAGCACCATTTTCATGAAGGCCAAGCGCTCGCTTACCAACTCATTCGATCACTTGCTGAAGCGGAAGGCTTCGAAAGATGACATCGGCGGGCCGCATGGTTTGCGGGACCTTCAGGTGCGCGAAGCTTCCACCGAACCACAACCGGTTAGTCGTAGTGGCAATGAAACGCCACCAGAGGGATTCCGCTCACGTTCGAATACGATTGGTGGCGCTAGTCCGAGCAAACCCAGCGCAGAGCACTTAAAGAGTCCCATGATGGACATGTAAGGGGAAATAAAATTCTTAAAATAACGATCGCGGGCATTTGAACTGAGTTTTATTTGTTTTTCATTGCAGCTTTATAAAAGTCGGCAATAGTCCGAAAGAATCGGAAGCGCATCAAGCTTCTTGGCGTCACGCGATTTTAAATAGTGTGGTTACACCATCGAAAGGCATGGACGGTGATGCACAGAATGAATTTATGTCACCGATGAGAATCAAAAGTGGGTATTTATTGCTATTTCTCTATAACATCTAATAACACCCCTTCCATTGCAGAACGCATTCGTGGTAAACGCACCCGCGAGGAACTTCGCGATCTCTGGAAGACCGCAATTCGCCAGACCATTCTCTTGAATCGCATGGAAACCGAAAATGCTATGTTGCAGGCGCGTCAAAACGAAAACGAGCTCAAACGTATCAAACTCGACTATGAAGAGATTGTGCCATGTGACAAGCAGTTAATCGAGCGTTGGGAGCAGATTATTGAGCGCGACTCCATGAAGATCGGCAACAAGAAAGATCCCAAAGTGTTGGCACAAGCAATCAAATGTGGCGTACCACGTTCGAAACGTGGCGATGTTTGGACCTTTCTCGCCGATCAGCATTCCATGAATACAGCACCAGTGGACACTAAGAAATTTCCCAATTTCAATACACCCTATCACACATTACTGAAGAATCTCACTGAACATCAGCATGCCATCTTCATCGATCTGGGTCGTACCTTCCCCAATCACAAATTCTATAAAGATCCACTCGGTTTGGGACAATTGTCACTGTTCAATTTGCTCAAAGCGTATTCTATACTCGATCCAGAGCTTGGCTATTGTCAGGGCTTGGGTTTTATATGCGGCATACTGCTGTTGCATGTGAGTAGAAGGAAATGTGCTCCCTTAAACATTTAAATAACTTTATATTTTAACCTTTTAGTGCGATGAGGCCGATGCTTTCCAATTGCTCAAACATCTCATGTTCAGACGTCAGATGCGTACCAAATATTTACCAGATATGAAGAAGTTCCAACTGCAATTGTATCAGCTGTCACGTCTAGTCAAGGATCACTTACCAGAATTGTATATCTGGCTCGATCAGAACGATGTATCGCCAACATTATATGCGGCACCATGGATACTCACAGTTTTCAGCTCACAATTCCCATTGGGTTATGTGGCACGCGTTTTCGATTTGCTCTTCCTAGAATCATCGGAAGTGATTTTTAAATTTGCTATCGCTTTGCTGACAGTACACAAAGATGAATTGCTGGCGCGTGACAACTTTGAGGAAATTATGGATTATTTGAAAACAGTTGTACCGAAAATGGAAGCAAATACAATGGAGAAAATTATGAAATTGGTGAGTTTGGTGGAGGATTTAATGCTTCTTAGTGACTCTATTTTTACTTATTGTTACGTGGTGGGAATCTTGAGCTTGGTTTTCAACTATGTAACTCGCATCGTTTAACCTTTTATAAAACAACTTTTATAAGAATATATAGTTGTAAAGCCAACTTTCGCACAAGCTTCGGTAGTAAATCTAATAGAAGTTTTAAATTTCATCTCCCACAGGTATTCACTTTGGACGTCAGCAAGCAACTAATCGAATATAATGTCGAATATAATGTATTACAAGAAGAGATCTCAACTGCAAATCACCACTTGGAGATGTTGAATAGAGAAAAAACACGGAATATGCATCTAGAACAGCAGCTGCAGGTATGCAACTCTTCATTTCCGCAAAAAATTCGATATATCCCCATTCGCATTCCTAAATCACCTAATTTTTCTTTTCACAGTTTGCTCAATCGTCGATCGCACAGCTCGAGAAGACTCGCTCTTCTCAACAAAGCCAAATCACCTCACTGCAAACACAGGTGCAATCGCTCGAACTAACAATACAAACACTCGGCCACTTCGTCTCCCAACTGGCCGAACACAATGTCGAACTGGAATTGCCCGGCGATGTGCGACGCATCCTGCAACAATTGGAGGACTTGGAACGTCAGCGTCGCAAACCACATTTCACTGAGCGCAAAATCGGCAAATCCGTATCGGTCAACAGTCATTTGGGGTTTCCACTAAAGGTGTTAGAAGAGTTGAGCGAAAAAGAAGAACATGGTTCGCCACAAAAGAAGAAGGAGAAGACACCTTTTTTTGAACATACCTATGAACAATTGCGACAACAGCAACGCAACGCACAAACATCACCAACATCACAGGCGGCGGCTATGCAACAACGAAAATTGCTGAGCAGTGCTAGCAGTTCACTGGATGACAGCCCACACCTCCAGCAACCACAAACGCAGCAGCCACAGCAGCAGCAACAACGGCCAAATCGCCTACTCGACTCCCCGGAAATGCAATCCAAATTGACCGAACTCAAACTGTCCGACCAGTTGGAGCAACAGTTTGGCAGTGCAAATATACGCAGCCCTCTGGAAGTTGACAGTGGTGTGGGTACACCACTCAGCCCGCCCAGCACTAGCAGCAATAGTAGTACTAGCGGACTAAGCACAGCCTCTACGGGTAGTGGTAGTAGCGCTAGAAATGGTGTCGGAGGCGGCGGCGACAGCCTCTTTAGTCGAATGGGTTATAAGAATACACCGACAGCGCTGTCACCACTCAACTGCCGGCAAACTTTATACGGTGCAGGAAGTATAACGCGAGGCGCCAGCAAAGTGGTGCCCCCAGTTTCGATTATAGTGCCCACTGAGCAACCAGAGTCGGGTGCGGGTAATACAGAAATGCATCCCCTAAGCATGGTGGGTGAGGTGAATGTGCGTTTTAATGGCACAACCCAATTGAAATCGATACGACCCGTGCATCATATGCGCCCGATGGTCCCAGTGGCAGCGGGTGTGGCGGAGACAGCTGCTAGTGCAGACGACAGCAGTGCGAGTGGTAATAACCTTGATACGTCGAATGCAGCTGCCACAAATGGTCGCAGCTAACGGTTTTGATTCATAGCGAAATTTTTGCGTAGCTTCTATTAAAGATACAGAATAAAAGAACAAAATACATAGCAAATGGAAGAAACAAAAATAGCGAAAAACATAGAAAAATATAGCGAACGCTGCGGCGAGTTTTCGATTCGATTGATGGCGGAAAGACTTGAAATATTCCAAAAACGGGCAATATTTTAGCCACGAGATAAAAAATGATGCACAAATGAAAATTGGGATTTTTACTTAGTATTGAAGCTAGTTGCCGCAAATTTTTTTTTCTAAGTATCTTCAATTCGATTACTTCCATTGCGGCTACTTGAAGAAAATACTTTTGGAAAAGCGATCTTTCGAAATCGTGAATAATTGAAGGCTTATTTACTTAAGGAAAAATTCATTAATAATTTTTTCCCGTTTTCGAAACGAAGACCACCGCAGTTAAGAGCAACAAAAAAAGTTATTCATGTGCATGTGCTTAAGTAATAGAAATTTGCTGTGATTGCTTGCAACTCATCAGAAAAAAAAATTTTATGGAAATGAAAATGAGTAAAAGAAAACGCTACAAAAATGCTTTTAAATGCCGCTATTAGAATTGATAACTTTAATAAAAGCACCTACGCCACACAATCGCTATGCAACATTACAACCACAACAAAAATTAAGAACTAAATTTACAAAATATGCAGAAACATTTAATGGCTATGTGTGTATGTAAGAATTAAGATTTGTACGGTGGGATTTTGTTGTGCAACTTCAACATGGACGAGTTAAAACTTTTCTAAAAACATACAGAATCGAATGGATGCTGGAATACTCTCTAACACAAATACTTTGTAGGTACATTTTTTTTGTATGTACATATGTAATGTGTAGACATATTCTACAAGTAAAGAGAAGAGCAACAATTGCTTTTCAATTTTTTTATAATAGCGTAAATGATTCTTGCAACAATCGATTTTCGGATCTTTTCCCGATTCCGTAGAGTATGATGTACTGCCGATCTACTCCAGCAGTCAGATATCAGACATCCATGCAAGGCAATAAGTTATTTCTACTTAAACGTTTGCTTTGAAATCAGAATTTTTTAAAAGCGTTGCGAAGCTAAGTGCAAAAGCTACTATAGTTCATGTTGCGCTGATTTATCACCCCAAACATTTTAGTTTTTTGTGTGTATTTATGAAAATTATGTTCCACTTTTAAAGTTACACAACAAATCCTTCAACTCTTCGGACAGTGTATTGAGGCTAGTCATTGTTGCTACACTGTAGAATGGAAGCAGAAAAATCAATAGATCTAAGTACAACAGAATTCTTAGCCCTTCGCAGTTTTTTTTTTTTTATTTAATTGTCTACAATTATGAGAATTTTTTAGGCAAACTAAAATGAAAATCGCTGTTGTCATCTGAAAGGTAGTCATTGTTGAAATCTTTGTATGTATTTATAGTACATAATAATTGGTTAATGTAGGCGAAAATTTGGAAATAATAGCAGCTAATTACATATACACACATATATATATGTATATATGCATGTAATTGAATATTAGTAAGTAGAAACCATATTTTTGCAAATTTAGTCTTTTAAGCCCCATTTTATACGTGTCAAGAGATGAGTTGAATCCATTCGTAAGCTCACTAACTTCTTCCAGACTAGTTCCCAAATGAAAGTGCCGACTAAATAATACCCATAGTATTCATCTAAACGGTTATACGTCTCGTAACCGCGTAAACCTCTTATATTTTTTTACTAGACGATTTTTCATGCTAAAAGTTCACTGAAAGGCTCACCATTGCCTGTAGAGGGGCGCACACGATTGAGATGTCGCGATGACTAGAGATATCAGGCTTGGGGTCTATCGAATTTTAGTTCGAACCTTTAACGACTCGGTATAACCTAGTTTGTTGTTGTTGTTGTTGTAGCGGCTACAACAACGCCGCCCAGATCGATTGATATCTCAGTCGTTGTCTTCGAGTTCCACTAACGGCAGCCCCAAAAAGCGTGCAGCATGCGTTTGATATGCTGTATTCTAATCTGGCCGATACTAGTTTATTTAACTTGCTAATCTGTATGCCAACCAGTCACGATCATAAAGCGTTGATTCTCTGCGCGCTCGTACAAAACCTATGTGAAGCTTAAAAAATCATCTCTTGTTTTGTACATGACTGATCTAAGTAACACCTCTAGTTTCCTTTTACAGGCATAATACTCTCATCGAAAGCATTACTTTTATCTCTTGACCTCTGAATTGGGACTATGCTTCTATCAATGTTAGTTAAGCAAAAGATAAGTTATTGAATGGAATGTAATTGATTGTTGTTTTTTTTTTCTAATTAGAGAAAGGAAATGTGTACTTAAGAAAAGGGATTGACTTAGATTTTCTTTAAGTGTAGGTTTGTATTGATGTTTTATGTATGGATTAGTTTGTCATTAATGTGTAAGGGTAATAACATTTTAGAAAATATCGAGCCCTAACCGCCTAAAAAATGTAAGCGAATTTTTTTTTTTTAACTTTTCGATGCAGAAATGCTACTAGAACATCTATATATGTAGATGCTTGTCTGCATCAAAAAGAAAATTGTGAAAAAAGTTCACATACGTTTTTTTGGCTGTAGGGTCTTGATATATTTTTGAAAGGACTCACAATGTGTCGATAAATCTTATTGTCATGATAGAAAAAAATGCTAACTGCTGCGACAAAGTTTATGACAATTTGGCTTGTGGTAATACTTGGTGAAATCTTTAATTATTTTAGTTTACAAAAACTTTTGCATACATATGTACTTATGTATGTTTTTAATATAGTATCTTTTATTTAGCTATTTCATGGGACTTTGCGTTTGCCTCTTATTTTATTACAGTACATATACATATACATATATGTTTTTAATTTCACACAAATTGGCTGAGAGTACCACACACACTTAGCAAGTAAATATTTAGTTATTTAAGCAGATAAAAATCATATATTGTATAATGAAAAAATAAATGCGTATGCTTATAGCTGTTAGGTTTATAATTGTAAAACCATAATATAAAAAAAAAATTAAGTAAAAAAAAAATGTGCTAGATGAAAATATAATCGCTTAACTACCTACCTACAAAAACGTCTGTATAAAAGTACAGAAAGTTAAATTCATAATCTCTGTAGCATAAGCTCGTGCGTATATAATCAAATTGTTCGATTTAATTGTGCGTGTTATAATTTATTAAAAAAGGTAATAAAAGCAAAATGTTATAAAATCAATTAAGGAATCGTATTGTATTGTATTTTTTAGCTTAGTAATTGTACGTTGCAGGTCTCAAAAGTGAAAACCCACTATCGCGTACATACAGACATACATATGTATGTACTTGAGAATCAATATTTTAAAAGTTTTATAAAATGCTTCAAATTGTTAAATTTAAATGCTTAAAACGTATGGTATTGTATTGAGCTAGCTATAAAACATTTATGTATTCACAAAAAATTGAGTAAAACAGCTTAACTATTTAACTGACCAAATATATAAATCCAATTTATTATGTAGTCACTCAAAAAGGCGAATTGCGACTATTGAATAAAAATGTATAGTAACAAATTTAAATGTATTTTATTAAAGACAACAAATTTTTGTGTATCAAGCGATTCCAAAAAAAAAAAATTTACCTTCAGAGACGGTAATTAAAAAGAAAAAGTTAAGGTAAGCTTTTATTGGTGGTTGTTAAAAACTTTAAAATTTACTCCGACCCAGAGCAGCGAACAATTCACAGACCATTGCTCGAGACGGTGAAATCCCTCATCACTATTTCTGATGGAAGCATTAAGGTAACTATTGGCAGCTTCTCACCCTACAAATCACCTGGGCTCGATGGTACTCATTTAGTAACGCTGACGAATCTCATACAAGGCCTACTAAACAGTCCCTCGCGATGGTGCAGCAACCGTGGTTTGGGAGTAAATTCCACAAAACCAGATCTTTTACTACATATTTACAAGGCAACATATCTGTTCATCTACCGGAAATACTACCTTAAATGGTGCTACACCAAGAATTGATCAGATTTAATATCTAGGTCTTATTCCAGATGGGGGACCTAACATCGATGAAAGAGTTCACAAAGTCACAACTGCGTATACTTCTGCACCAGGACTATTGGCAAAAATTGGGGTCTTGAGCACAAAATTGTAATATGCATCTACAGCGCGCTGGTAAGACCAATTCTTTTCTTGGAGGTAGCAGTTTGGTTGGATTCTCTCTCAGTTCAAAGACTGGCGGTAGCCATGAAGACAACTGTCACCAAAGCGCTCAACAAGCTACTAACATTTCTCCCGACTGATATATATGCAAGAAAGATGACATGAAATGGACGCATCCATATATTGGTCACTGTACGATTCCTACTATTGGCTGAAGAAATGGCTGAGACATTCAGCATACACGTTGTCTGGGTACCTGACCATTGCGCGCGTCATGGAACGACATCGCCTGATACAGATATAAGGGATACTCTCTTCAAGCATGCGAATTTCTACTGAGTGAAAAATTCCTAAAAGTTGCTAATGAAAGATGGCGGATGGAACCGCCAAAACACTCTGGCCAGCCAGAGATGCCCACCGCACTAGGGCGCAGCTTGGGACGACTATTGTAGAAACTGCATGGATAAAGGCGAAGAGTAAACCATCCCACATCCTCTCTGCCATTGATCGGCTCTATCAAAACGGAGAGCAAAAGCTCTTGGGATCTAGATGGCCTCTAAGCAACGAACGTTGAAGCCTATGCACTTTTTTGCTAAGCACCAACTGATTTAAAGGGGAATGGGGAAAAACCTCATGTGGTATCACAAAGGACCCTGAGTAAAAGTGAGTCCTACTTAGGACTACCCCCACGCCACCTAACGGCTATATTTTTTTGGAGTTATTGGCCAATCGGGCCAAAAATACGAGTTTGCTAAATATCTCAACTCCTGCGCCACCTATTGGGCAATATTTTTTTGTGGAGTTATTCCTTTTCATGTAGCTAATATACATTCCAAATATGAATTATATCGGACCGTAAATACACCTGCCCCCACCTAGCGGATTAATTCCCCTTTCATATTGCATTAAGTCTCTAGCTCATCGGGAAGTTGGTTAATTGATTACACACACGTAAAATTTTATAAAAGCTTGTAAAAAACCAAACAAATTTTCTTAATTAAAATTTTCGGGGCAATAACTGTTTTTCTTCGAGAGAAGAAAAGCTGAAATTTTATGTTTGTGTAACAAAAGAAAATTTAAAATACATCTAAATTTTTGTTTTTTTACCCCTTGTATGAATTCGCCTTGGCACATATATTTATTTCTTGAAGAAAATTTACAGCAAAATTTCAAGCGCCAAAAAGACTGAAAAATTAAACTCAAATAAAATAAAATAAACGGTTTCTAAATACATACACATACATAGTGTATACTTAACAAATGTAATTTATTTAATTTTATTCTACCTAGCTATTTTGTACAATTATTTGCATACAATTTTTATTATTAAGAAAAATCACAGTTATAATTTGCTTTGTGTTCTGTTTTTATTAAAATATACATACATATGTATATGTATATACATACATATGTAGCTTTTCTCATCCTATAAAATTCATCGTATTCCTAATTCAAGAATTTCAAAATAGTCTATACTACTTTTAATCATTTATCACGAAATGTTTTAATATCAATTCTGCAAAGTTTAAAGAAAAATTTCTTTTTTTTTTTTGTTTTAATTTAGAGACTATCGAGTATTACATAGCTTCAATACTTTATGAAGACACGTGAGAGTTTCACAAAAGTTTTTCTGTCAGCTTTTCTAAACACTGTTATTTTGTTCATGGTTTAAGCTTTGAGCTTCTGTCATGAGCTTTCACAGTTTGCGAAAAGTTGACAAAGAAACTTTTATCTAAGTCAGTGATGCTCAAAACAGCGCTCACGGGCGGAACTCTTCAAAGCTCTCTGTGGATTTTATATGAACGCACACAGAGTAAAAGCTCTATCTGAGCATCACTGATCTAAGTGAAGCTGAGATGACTAAAATGATAATTAAAGTGATATTTCTAGAAAAACAGGTACTTTCAATAAGCCCGGAGTACATTGAATTGAATGATTGAATTATGTGAGCATCAGTCACGACCCAAACATATTCCCGTAGGAAAAGCTTTTTCAAAGTTTCTGTACATTTTATATGGCCGTGCACAGAGTAAAAGCTTCCTAGAGAATTTTTTATGAGAAGTTTAGAAACTGTAATGAGTTTAAGAAGTAAAAGTTTAAAAAGCTCCAAAAATGTCTGATTATGTGATTTTATGCTTTCTTAAATGCGAGTAAATTGCATTAAATCTATATAGAGAAACAACTATTCAGAGGATCAAACGGCTAAAGAAATGTATGATCTAAACTTGATATCTTGCATAATTGGGGTACGTACACAGAAGGAGCAGTGTCGAGCCGTGCGAAGCTTTCAACCCGCTGTAGCTATATGAAAATGTTTATACAGCAAGCTTTTTCAGAAGCGTTTCGGAGCTGAAAGCAAAGCTTTTTTTTATTTTGACTTTTCTATTTCATTTTTCAGCTTTATGACCAAGGCGAATTCATACAAGCAGGGTGAACACCTGCAGCTTTGCTTCGCTCCGCCTGGTTTCGCTCCGTGATGCTCGTCCCTCTGTGGTACGCACCCTTAGCATAGAGAGCTAGTGAGCTTTATTATCTTGCAATTTTGTTACACTTAAGCTTTCCAAAACGAGAGACTCAACGTACGACACAGCTCAATTATCGCCCTCGGATTTTTAAAACAACCAACAATAACCCTTTGAGGGCGTATAACGTCTGCAACATATCGCCCAAAATCAATTGCAACATTGCAACCTTCGAAACCGCATGCTTCCCAAAGCGATGTACAGTAATTGGCCGACCGACCGACCCCTATCGCCAAAACCTATTCAACAAACGCCTGCGCAAAACAACGGCTCGCCTTCACTCCTTATACTGCTGTTGTGGCTGCTGCTTGTCGCCGAATTCTGATTTTATGTTTGCGCCCGGCGCGCTGCCGAAAGCCGCCATATTACCGTAGAGGCCACTGACAGATGGCATGGTACCAGCCATCGCCGCTGCACCCAACATATTAGCCATATTTGTTGGCAAGCCGCCCGGATAGAGATTTTGGTAGAAGAGCGGATTTTGTAGCTGGAAGAGTGCCATCAGGTGCGTCAACTGCATATTGGGTGCGTTGGGATCTTGCATTTGCATGTTCTGAGCAACAGCAGCTGCCGCGGCGGCCGCTGTGGCGGCATTGAAGTTGGTAAGGAAGGGCGATGGAAAGAGACCGGCTGCTGCGGCGGCAGACAACTGTGAATTGTTAGCACCATTATTGGCGGCGAGTTGAGCGGCAGCAGCGGCGCCCATTGGCTCATTGTTCGACTCCAGTTTGATGCGTTTAGTTGACTCCGTCTTAACGGGCAGTTCCTGAAAGTGAAGAGGAAAATCAAATGAGAAATGTATGCGTCCTGAATTGGTTCAAGTATTACAATTTTTTTTGGCGGTCGTCCACGTTTACGCGCCAGAAAACGATCTGCGCTCAGTGAAGACAATGGTGTCGTCGAGTGTGTGGTAGCTGCTGCGGTTGACGGCGCTAATGTTCGAGCGATTGGCGCTGGTGAGTCTTCGCCGCTTGAATCCTTTTGCTTTTTGAAATTCTGGTAGGCCTGTTCGCCGTCGAGACGATCGTGCTTGCGCTTGTGGCTTATCATTTGACTGCTCGAATGCAGAATATAGTTACAGCCTTCACGCACGCAATGGATGTGATTGCAGACGGTTGAGAATTTGCAACCCTCAAAGGGGCATGGCTCTGTCTTGAGTATCTTCTTGAAGCCGTCCTGGGTGAGCTGATAGTCGCGCAAATGGTAGGTTTTGTGTTTATCTAAATGAAGAGATACAAATCATTATCCCGCTCATGTCTTCTTTTCCATCCTCCAAAACTTACCCATATCCGCCTTGTTCTTGAACGTGTGATTGCAGCCCTCTCGACAGCAGTGATAATGCGACGTCTTCTTGCCAAAGAATGGACAATCCTCGATCTTGCAATTTTCGTGTGCACGAAAGCGTCGAAAACCCTCCTGTACAATTTCCGAATTCTTGCGATGAAAGTTCGCATGCATCTGCACATCACTTGTGCTCACGTACACCTTCGGACAATCCTCGTAAACGCAATGATA